CAGGGGGGATGGTCACGCCGCAATCCCTTCTCCTCCATTCTCCTCTCGGGATCTTGGGCACGCACGCACATGCACCTGGCATGAGTTTTAAGCCACTGGGTCCAGGACGCGAACCGCAGTCGACTATGTGGGAGTCTAGTGACATAGCCACTACGCTAACTGCTGGTCCCAAGAGGTCCTTATTCTTGACAAATTAACAGTAAGCTGTCTCTCAATGGGGCCTGCCGCGGCCTAGTGACTAAAGGAGCCCAATCCCATATGGCTATCCACATGGTTCAAGTCCCCATCCCAGCAGCTCCAAACACATGCCAGGTGCATATGTGTGTGTGTGTGTGTGTGTGTGTGTGTGTGTGTGTGTGCACCCACAATCCCAGAGGGAGAGATGCAGAAAGGACCGCAGCGTGACTACGCCCACTGGGGCAGGGGACGTTTTCTCCCTCCCCCTCATTCTCTGTGCGTACTCACACCACCTGGCAACAGAACAAAAGAAAGGGATAAGTGAGAGAACCTGAACGCTAACTAGAGAGCGGGAAGTACATTCTCCCAGCCTCCCCCGCCCCGACTCCAGCCAAAAAGCTCACAGGAAGCCTTGGAGAGCTTCACACCCCAGGTAAGGCTGTGCTTGGTTCAGCAAAGACAAGCCCTGGATGTGACAGCTGAGCAAACAGCAGGAACTGCAGCGGCTCCACAGGAGGCTTTGCCAGGCATGGGCTCCTGCCTCCCTCCTGTGGAGGTCAGGGGGAAGTGCAGGAAGTGGCAAGTGTCCGGCCACCAGCAAGCAGGCGGGCGCAGCGGGAGGGCAGTTGTAAGTCAAGGACAAGTTGAAAGCTTCCACCCCACCTCCGACAAGTGCATCTGAGAAGCAGCCCTCGGTGACCACCTAGATTCTGCTAGGGGCTCTCCATCTCCAGAAAAGGAAGCAGGCTTACGGGACTTTGCAAATAATTGCTGCCTTGGTGCTCAGGGAGAAGTTGTTGTTGCACAAAAACAAACTCCACTGCAAATGTCAACCTGCTACATCCAGAGGTTTCTGTAGGAAATAACAGGGGTTTTATTCCCTACCCCAAAGGAAAGGAGGAAAGAAATATGATGTATGTAGGAGAACCCCGAGTTCTAAGCGCTGCACAGACTCACCAAGATGAAAGCCAATGTCCCAGAAACTGTATCTAGATTACCCTCTTTAAAGCTCACACAACTGTATAAGGTAGTAGGTGTGATCTTTTTTACAGATGAGGAAACTGAGGCTCAGGGAAGCCCGGCCAGTTCCCAGGGGCTACACAGCCTGTGAGCAGGAAAAGAAGACACACCCTAGTCTGACTCACTCAAGAGCCCATACTCTCCCCACTGTGGTGGGGGGTCTCATATACTGCTCAATGGTTTTATCTACTGGGCAAGAGTTTTTAGTCCTTAGGGAGCAAATGCATCAACAACTAAAGCCTTGGGGGGATAACCCATTTAGACATCTCCCAGTGTCTCTCTGTGAGTGAGCGGGACAGTTACCATGGGGAGGAGTCCAAGTCCCCAATGATGTTAGTTTCTGCATGGGAGAAAATGAGTTCAGCCACACAAATTCCAGAATGCAGTTAAGGGAACAGTAAGTGGAAATCATAATTTACTGAAATACTGAAGGAGGTTGAATGTAATCAAGTCAAATACTTTATAGCACATGAAAAAGCCGGAAACCAGGACAAGCTGTAACAAGGGCGGTGGGAGGTGGGTGTAGTATACTAAAGGGATCAAAGAGTTATGGGTTCTTGGGACCAGCAGTTGGCGTGGTGGTTGGGGCGCTGGACTCCCATGTGGGCAACTGCAGTTTGGGTCTGGGACCTGGAAGCTTGCTTTCTCACTTTCTCTCTGTCTCTCTCCGGTGAGCACATGAGCCCTGTAGCATATTAAAAATAATGATAAGTAAAATTAAATAAATAATTATTTTTAAAAAAAGAATTATGGGTTCTTGGCAGTCTGCTAAGAGGATGACAAAACTGCAGTGCAGTCAGAAAGTCTCAGGCATCTGGTATTGGCATCTGAGTTCCTCCAACTCAGGGCGAATGCAAATAATTCCTAGGTTTCTCCAACGTGGACTAATGTGCCCCTAGTAAGTCTCAAGTTCTGACTCACTCCATTCCTTCTTCCCTTTGACACGAGAAACAAAAACTTAACCAGAACACTCTTCCCGTTTGACTTTACACGGGCTTTCTTCCCCATGCCAGGGCAGTCCCGACAGTGCTGTGATAGCCTAGAAGCTATTACTGGTGATTAAGGGAGCTCAGTCTAACCTACATCTACGCTCTCCAACCCTCCAAAAGACCTGGCCCCATGGAAAGGTTCTAAGTTTCTAAAGTCCATCCCAGTACCAAATGCATTTCCTACACCCCCTCACCCCATAGTCAGGTTTAAAAAAAAGAAAAAGACAAACAAGCAACTAAAAAACCAACACACCTTCCCTCCTCCCTGCTGAGGCCATTCATTTCCAACCCATTTCCCTAAATAAGATTTCTAACACCACCTGTGAGGACCTGAAAATGATGGGGAAGGAAATATCCCCAGGCATTCCAGCAGGGGGCCAGCTCCCAGCAAAGCCAGATCAAAAGAAACAGCTGCTGGGCCGGTGGGTGGGGGGTTAAGGTAGGGACTCCCAGGTGGTCTACTGCATTTCGGTCCTGGGTCCTGAACCTCGCAGCTTGCTTTCTCACTTTCCCTTTTTCTCTCCCAGGTGAGCATGTGTGCCCTGTACCAAATTTTAAAAATAATAATAAAATAAACAATTCTTTTGAAAAAGAACGCTGGGCACGTGTGCATGCATACCAGAAGTCCCAAAAGGTGAATGGTGAAGGAACTGCCATGCCCAATGGGGTGGGGGTTTTGGTTTCTCACTTTCCCTCTCTCTCCCCAAACTTCACAAGCCCGTGTGCTCTATAGCAAAAACTTAAAAAATAAAGGAAGACGGAGAAGTGCTTAAGAATCATTCTGGATTGTCACCTGAATTTCTCAGGGGAAAACAGAGCCCATGTACTTTCTCAGAGGCCTCTGACACCAGGCTGAAGATCCAGCTTGCACGCTGGGACTCTTACGATCACCGCTTCCTTCATCTTTTCTTCCCCCACTTAGAAGTTAGTGACTGCAGTCAGGCCACTGCGCTGGCCTGAGCACTGGCCACAGCCTGCCACCCTCATTGCCATTACTGCCTCGTCCACTCCACTGATCTGTACAAGTAGCTCCCTGTCCAGGTCACTGGTAAGACCGTCCCCCACTCGTACCCCCTCCCAGGTCACCTAGGGTAGCAGAGCAGGAGCTTCCTCAGCCTGCTTCCATCCCAAGCCCTTTCTTCAGCCTGGCCCCATGGTGGGGGCCCCATGCCTGTGCCTGAAAGCCTCCACCCAAAGCTTCCACCAAGCGATTCATTCCAGTCAACGTGAACTGCCTCCCTAAGAGACTGAAAGGGCTGGAAGGACATGAGCAGGGCTTCTTGCCAATTCACAATCCTCTGCCAAATGGGTGGTATCTTCCGGGCCTGGGGTGCCACCGCCAGATGCCAAAGCACAAATCCTCTCTCCAGATAGAAAAGTACACTGGAGGAACAGTCAGCCAGAAGGCCAGGATAGTCATGACCCCAGATTCCAAAGCTGGAACAGGGTCCAGCAGATGGCATAATGGTTACATCACTAGACTCTCACATAGTCGACTGCGGCTCGAGTCCTGGACCCAGCGGTTTAATAACTTTTCACCAGGCGCATAAGCATGCATGCCCAAAAGCCCAAACAGAGAATAGAGAAGGAATAGTGGTATAGCCACCCCCCCAGGGAGTGCTTTCTCACTTTCTGGTCTGTCTCTCCAGTGAGCACACACCTTATAGCAAAAACCTCTCCCCCAAAAAAATAAAGACTAGAGAGACCAACAGTTAGCATAATGGCTATGTCACTGAACTCCCATGTAGCCGACTGTGGTTTGAGTCCCGGACCCGGTCGCTTAAACTCACGCCAGGCAAGTGTGTATATGTGCCCAAGATCCCAAGAGGAGAATGGAGGAGAAGGGATTGAGGCGTGGTCATCCCCCCTGGGGGTGATTTCACGCTTTCTATCTTCCTAGCTCTGTCTTTCTGGTGAGCGCACGGGTCCTATAGCAAAAACCTCTCCAAATAAAATAAATTAATTAAAATAAATAAAGACTAGAATAGATCCTACAGTGACACATGACCACCTGGCTGTGGGTCAGAAACAAGGTACGATCCACAAACTGGAAAAAAATAATGATCTTAAAGTAACTGGAAGTTTTGTAAAGAAAAAACGAGAGTCTGAAAAAGTAAAGTTTAATTACAAAGTCATATACACAAAACAAAACCTCAGTTTTGTTTTAAGCTCTCCCACTGGGCCTTTCACAAGCAAGGCAGTTTCCCACTGAGTCCAGACCAGTTAAAGATGCATCCAGGGTGGAGAGACCAGCCCCTCCTGAACAGGTGAACAACAGCAACTGTACTGGCTTGAACATCCGTGACTAAGCGACTGCGCAGCAAGGCTGGCTCCCCACGGGCTCAGAAGGCCAGCTTCTTCATCAGCAGGTACACTCTAGAATCCACCTCAAATCCATGCAGGTTGTTGGCATCCCCCTGCAGCCTCATGAGCAGGCCCCCATAGGACACATAGGCAGAGCTGAAACAGAAGGACAGTCCATAAGTCTGAGCACCAGAGCAGCTGCTCCTCAACAGCTCCCCATCCCAGCCTCAAAGAGAGGCCCCTTGTCCTGTTGTGTTATTAGGGATCAGAGTTCAGACAGGGATGTACACAGAGACAGACATCTGCAAGCCAGTGTGCTTCATTTTAGCAAAGGTAGAAAACTCCTACATGATCCAAATTAGGTGAAAGGTCAAATGAATTCAGATATTGTCATTTAGTGGAATGTTATGCAGCTACTAAAATGCTTGAGAAAAGCTTTAAATTGACATGGAGAAACTTAAGGGTAAGCAAAAAAGAGGAAACACTGTAACAGGGACAGTGGGTGACATGATGACTAAGGCGCTGGACTCCCACATGGAGGACCAAGGTTCCCTGACCTATCAGCTAAAAAATCATGCCAAGCCAGTGGGTATGTGCCCCAAATCCCAGGAGAATAGAGAAGGGATTGTGGGAAGATCAATCACCCACCCTGGGGGGTGATTTCTCACTTTCCCTCTCACTGTCTTTCTCCAGCAAACACAGGTTTGAGTCCTGGACCTGGTGGCTTGCTTCCTCACTTTCCCCTTCTTTCTCGCTGTCTATGGTCAAATTAAAAAATAACAACAAATGGAGTTGTTAAATAAATTATTAAAAAAAAAAAAAAGGCATAGTGGTTATGTCTCCAGACTCCTATGTGAGCGACCACGGTTTGAGTCCCAGACCCAGTGGCTTGAAAATCACGCCAGGCACATGTGCGTGTGTGCTCCAGATCCCAGGAGGAAAATGGAGAAGGGACTGCAGTATGGCCACCCCCTGGGAGGTGATTTCTCACCTACCCTCTCACTGCCTGTCTGCTGAGGGCACACTGCCTTAAGGCAAAAAATCTCTAAAAAAATAAATAAGGAGCTAGCAGATGGCGTAATAGTTATGTCACTGGACTCCCACGTAGTCAAACAAGGTTCGAGTCACAGACCCAGCAGCTTAAAACTCACACCGGGCCCATGTGTGTGACTTCCTAAGACCCCGAGAGGGGAACAGAGAAGGGATTGTGGTGTGACCACTGCCACACACCCTGAGGTGGTTCTGTCTCTCCAGCAAACACATGTGCCCTATAGCAAAAATGTCTCTACAATAAATGAATGAATATTTTTTAAACCCTAGAATATTCAAAAATGTATATCTAAAAAGTCTCATCAGTTATAGGTGACTTTTTCCTTCTTACATGACTTCTTTGCTTTTCTAATTTCTTACAAAGAACACATATTGTTTTAATAAGGAAGAAAATACTGGGGCAGAGAAACCAGAGAACTAGGGATTAGGTTACAGAGTAGCAACACACACAAGTAAACAAAAACAGAAACTAGGGCATAACCACTTAAGGTAGCATTCAGCTCCTAGGGGAGCAAAACTCTCCTTCGCATTTTACAGAAATACAAGCCTCACACTAGGACCACAGGGCCTAGAGGTCCCAACAAAGGGCAAAGTGAGCAGCCTGTAACTCAGACAGGAAGTCTGCTCCCAGAACTTTCTTGGTAGGTCCCACCTAGGCCTGAGGGGCTCAAGGAGGAGGACCCAGCACAGGAAGCAGGAGTGTAGCCCAAACACTCAGAACAGGTAGTGGGAATAGAGGATTCGTTTATTTATTTATTTTTTTTGTAAGAACTATTTAATATTAGCACTCTGAATTCTCTGGTCCCGACTGGGGATTGGACGCAGTCTTTTATGGGGGAACTGTGGAATGGGAGGCCTCTGGGTGGGGAATGAGCTCAGAACCCACCCTCCGTGGCATCTAAGGGAGGAGTCAGAGAAGCAGGAAAACTGATCCATTCAGGGCACTAACCTACTCAAGGCACTAATCCACTCAGGGTAATAATCCATTCAAGATTTTCAGGTTACCCTGTATCTCTTGGGAGGGGCAGTGAGTTTGCCAGAGGGCAGAAACTTCAGGCAGCTATCAGCCCTGAGTTATTCAGGAATTCAGGGTCCTTCCATATCATTCCCCCCTCTTGGGCCTCCTCAAACTTGAGGGGTAGGAATAAAGGATTCTTAAAAGACATGGAACTTACAGGCGCGTTGCTGCTTCAGTGGACGTCTCGTCCCCCTCGATCCTGTACACTTTCCCGTACATCACATACTCGAACTGGTCGGCCCTGGGACAGCAGTGGCAGAGTTATTCACAGCAACAAAAATACAAGACACTGCAAAGTGGAAGTCACCTATACAGATGTTATGAACAGGATGTCACTTAGCCTTCAGGCAACCCTGAGCTAGGCCATCTTTACTGAGGATGAGGAAAACGTGTTAGAGCTGAAAACCAACTCCCCAAGGTCACTCACATCCTGCTGATAATCATTTACTCCAAGAATGAGATAAGGGTCTTTCTATACTATGTATCTACTTCGTCCTCAGGGGGCATATTTCAAGTATGCTCTGCACACTCACCTGGAAGGCCTGTCATCTGTGGGGTTGTATTCACCGTCATCCAGCGTACCATCTTCATACAAGGTGCTGGCTATGACCAATCGGAACTTGTCACCTGAAAATACACAAATATCTCAGGAAAGGGGCCATCGGGTGGTGTGGTGGTTAAGGGCGCTGGACTCCCACATGACCAACTACAGTTCAAGTCCTAGACCTGGTGGCTTTCTTTCTCTCTCTCTCTCTCTCTGTCCCTCTCAGGTCAAAGTTTAAAAAAATAATTCTTAAAAAAAAGAAAAAGTATCTGAGGATGAAGACTAGCTGAGACAATAAAAAGCCTCTAGTGGGGCCAGCAGGTGGTGTGATAGTTAAAGGCAATGAGTTCCCACATGGCCAACATCAGTTTGAGTCCCGGGCCTGGTGGCCTGCTTTCTCACTTTCCCTTTCTCTCTCTCTCTCTGTCTGGTCAAATTAAAAATAAAAATAATAACACGCAGAATTAAATAAATACTTCTTTAAATTAAAAAAAAAAAAAACCCTTGACGACCAGCAATTGGCATAATGGCTATGTTGCTGGACTCCCATGTAGTTGACCATGATTCGAATCCCAGACCCGGTGGCTTAAACTCAGGCTGGGTACGTGTATGCCCAAGATGCCAAGAGGAGAATGGTGGAGAAAGGACCACAGCATGGCCATCCCCCCTGTGGGTGATTTCTCACTTTCTGTCTCTGACTTTCTGGCCAGTGCACATACCCTATAGCAACCCCCCCCCCCAAAAAAACAAACCCCTCACT